TTGGTTGGGGGTGAGGGCCTACGTAAAAGAAGCCTTCTTGGATCTATTAGATTGATCTTTATGCCAAGTTTATTATAGAGAAAAGTATCTCCTAACTGATCACGGAACACACGTACTTAAACCTTGAAACTGAAATACACCTAATTATTTTCAGTTTCACTACTTTCTTAATCCCGTATTTTGTATATTTTCCCGATATTAATAATTCCGTAACACAACATGTTAAATTGTCTATCAAAACACATTTGTTTTGTTATAAAAATTGAAAATTAAAGCCAATCATTATATTTAGTAACAATTTTCTTCGTCCTAAACTCTTCCATTATACATTTCTTTATTCATATCACAGTCACAGCCGATTTATTTGAAAAAGATCGAATTGTGTTGTCTCCATCCTTTTTTGTTCATTTTTTTCTGGAGAGGATTATACGGCGGAAAACAAAGTTTCTTGGTTTGTTTAATGTGGAAAAACAAAATGTTGAAAAGATATTCTTGTCTCCATCCTTTAATTAATGCAACGTCACTTAACTTGACTCTTATCAATATATAATTTTTTTTCTTCATAAAATTAAATTTTAAATTGTTTATTTTGTTTACTTTTTTTATGTTGTTTTGTTTATAGTAACTTTGGTGTTGTTGATGCTAATTAATCACAGTTTCTGGTTGCAAAATTTACGAACTAGATTTTATCAGGACTTCAATGGTTTTGTAAGGATAAATACTTTACTATAAATAAAGTTTTATTTATTTATTTTATTTATAGTTGAGCATTTACAATTAGACCTGGCAATATTGTACACGACCCATTAACACGACACGAATTTGTACGAAAAATTCAATATTCGGGTTTGAGTTATCATGTCGTGTTGATATCGTGTTGACCCGTTAAGCTATCGTGTCGTGTCGTGTCAATTCGCGAATACTCGTTAACTCGTTAAGTTCAGGGACATTTTTGTAAATTTATCTCTTTCTTCCATTTTGTCTCTTCCTCCCCCATTTCCCCGATTCTCTCAGTACTCTCTCTCTCTCTCTCTCTCTCTCCCCAAAACCCAGCAACCTTTGACTTTGAGCTTTCTTCTTCTCTCAAGTCCTAAGCAGCCACTACACCACCCAACCACCATGAGCCATCCCAACCACTTCCCCCCTTTGTCTCCCTCCCTCACCGATCGATCCAACCTATTCTCTCACCTTCTCTGATGACTCTTTCTCCTCCATTCCCACCATCTCCGCTGCCCAAACCTTTGAGGGCCACTCGCCGGGCATCTCCAATCTCACCTTCGAGCTTGTCTATGGACTGTGTTGAATTTATTTTTTTGTGCACTGGTTGATTTTTTAATTGTTTAACATTTTTGTTTTTGTTTTTGTTTTTTTTTGTTTTTTTTGTTTTTTAATTCTTAACGGATTATTGTGTCGTGTTGTGTGATTCGCGAATTGTAATGGGTCGTGTTCGTGTTTGATATTTTCAACCCGTTTTCTTATTGTGTCATGTCGTGTCAACCCATTAAGAAAAGTGGGTTGACATGAAAACGACACCATGCTCCCTATCCACCTCCTAAAATAGGGAGACTTCTAGGAGCTCCTAAATATGAGGAGACATAAAGGACTCATATTCTTGTCTCCATCCTTTAATTAATGTTAACTATTTTTGAAAAATATTTTTTTAATAAAGATGAACCAATTAAAAAAGATTTATAGCATGATTGTAGATGCTCTAAGTATATCCTATTTATGGGGCTTTAAATCAATGATCAAAATCGTCCAGTTATTTAAAAAAAAAATACATATATATATATATATTGTTCATCTTTTCAGAAATTATTATTCATCTAATTATTGATATCTTCGTTTTTCGATACAAGCGATATTGGAGGAGGGGGGAATCGAAACCTAGTACCTCAGGTGCAGAGGTAAATACTCTTAATCACTTGAGCTATAAGCCCTTTGTATTGGTATCATTGTTTTTGTTTTATTTAACAAATTGCTTTTTGTGTGTGTACATTTTAGATAACCAAACAATTATGAGATATTGAAGAGATAATTCTTAAAAAATAACCTAAAATATAGATGATTTCGATATTTTAAATACATTATTAGGTAACCCGAATAAAAAATGTACGAACTTTTCTTAAAATAAGTACGTCATCCGCATACAAAAATCCACACCAAAAAATGGCTACAGAAGATGAGCTGTAGTGTTTCGTCCACGAGTCACAGCATATAATAATATCACACCTATTTATTTATGTGTGAACAATTATTTAGTTAAGCACAAAAAATTATAAAAGAGTATATTAATCGCCGCTTTCTAGGAAAATATTTTATATATAATAAAAAATATAAACGAATATCGCTCTACCGGCCTAAATGCAAATTGCATTAACTAGTACAAATAAAACAATATATGGCAGTAATAATGAGCTGTTATTGAGGGCACTCTTTTATAATATATGTGAAAAATAATTAATCACTCTATTTTATCCTGGGTTGCATATGTGAAAAATAGCCAGTTTAGATAGTTGATATTTTTTTTATAGGGTACCCTTAGGGACGGCAACGGGCCGGGTAGGGGCCAGGTATGACAATACCATCCCCGTCCCCGTTCCTGTCGGGGGACTATCCCCCATACCCGCCCCGAATCCCCGAATTTTTTTTTGCATAAAAAATAATTATCATCTATTTTAATATTAAGTTTCATATTAAATTATCATTCAACACATTCAAATTAAATATAAAGTTCAAATCAACGATTCAAAATCACATTAATATGAAAATCCGGCGAAGATTAGGAAGAATTAGGAACGGGAGGTTAACTTAGTGTTAAACATAAATATTATAATTATATATATATTTTCGGGTCGGGTTCGGGGATGGGGACGCCAATATCATCCCCTCCCCATACCCATCAGGGATTTTTCAAGTTCGGGGATCCCCGTACCCGATATCCGTTTGGCCCCGAAATCTCCCCCCGTTAGGGTCGGGGACCCAACGAGGACCCGCCCTTGCGGGGATTTTTGCCATCCCTAGGTACCCTAAAGGGTGTCCCTCAAATAAAATTATTTAAGAAATCCCTCAATAGAAAGAGACTATATATACGGAGTCACCACTTTGGCCAGCACTTTACCCCTTACGGGCCCACCCGGTGTGAGCGGGGATTAGTCTGGGCTATGGTTAAGGCTTAAAGGTGTCACCCATAGTTGAGGCCCATCCAAAACCACCTCGTGGTTCAGACCAAAAAAAAAAAAAAAGACTATATATACCAACATAAATTTATATAGTGTATATATGGTCAGAATAAATTAGACAAAAACATCTATCTATTACTGCATGTCCAATTCACATGCCAAATATTCCTACATGCATCCTCATCAGCAAGTTCCTACATCATTATTTGCCAGGATAGCATTTTCCTTAATTAGTTTTTTTTTTTGGATAATTTTTTTTATTAATTAGTTTAAATATTATAAAACATAATAATAACACTAGATTAATCTCATTGAGCTTTTGATTATTGTGTTCGTCCCATGAATTAGCTGCTATCATTAAATTAAACATCTAATCCATTACATGGCCAAAGCGATGAAGCATAATAATTAATAATCAAGAGAGACAACGCAACATCCAAAGCTCACAACAACCATGGTGCTTATTTTGTTTTTTTGTTTTTAAAAATATATTGTGGAAACAAACAACTTATGATGGATAACATTTTAATTTCATGAACCTAAATATTTATCAACAACTTATGATGGAATCTAATTCAGTAGAAAATGATATTGACTTGCAGATCATTAGTATCAGGTTTGAAAATTCATGGCACCTTGATAGTGTGCGTGTGAGATACCCCAATCCCATTGTAGTTTAGACTATCGTTTGTATTAAAAAAAAATTATTATAAAAAATTATTTCATAATTAATTTGGGGTTTATGAGTTATTGATATGCTTATAATAAAATGAAAAAAATTATTGTATGTAAGAACAAAATCCCTTCTCAGAGCATTTTCTACAGCCTCGTCAAAGGCTGCTGGTGGGTGCTGTATCTGAAGAGCCCTGTAGGAAATGTTCACTCCAATGGAAATGCTAAAGTCAAGCAGCAAATTAGGGCTCCTAATTTTAGTCAACAACCTTAAGGAGTGCTTGTCAATTTACTTTTCCAAATAAAATATGATTTCTTGTCAACCTTTTTGGTCTGTAAATGTTGTTGGTATATGAAAAAAAAATAAGAATCATCGTACAATAAAAATTGGCTCTTCAAATTTCCAGGTAGATAAACAAAATACAATTTGAAGAGTCAAATTAGCTTGCTATGTTAGAAATGTTCTTAATTTTTGTTTTGGGCTTATTTGAGCATATAAAAGAAATTTAAAAACTTTTGTTTTGAGGTTTTAAATTGCATAAAAAGTTGTTTGAAACGGGAATAATATTATTTTGATTTCCGATCAATTGCAGTATACCAAATGAAAAAATTATCACACGTGATATAGTGTGATTGACCGGGTATAAAAAAACAATGGAGGGAAGAGGACTTTTAGGTGAACCCAATAATCTTTGCTGCCTTTTCTACTGGCGGAAAGGCGCTTTTTATAACAGCAAGCCCGCCTTCGTTTTCACCTGGCAAAGCCGAAAGCAAATTGCTGAAAGCTGCAATCTTTGTTTTGATCAACTGCTAAACAAACCTTCAATATTTTTCTAATCAAAATAACAAACGAAAGAGAAAAGAGTTCTTGTCCGCACTCAGAGGCGGGAGGTTTATAGGTTGGAATGAGAACATTCATAACTTTCAGCAAAGAATCTTAATCCGCAGGCAAAGCAGCAAGATAATCTAGTTTTAGAGAACAAGAAAGAGCAGAAAAGAAAAGGCTTTTAGCATTTTGGATAAGCTCTCTCTCTGAATCTCTCTAAGCATTTTTAACAACGATTTTGATTAGGCTTTCTTCCCATCTATCCCTAGATTAGCAAGCAAGATAAGAATGTGAGTGACTGAAGGTGTCTGCAAGGGAGATTTAGAGAGAGAGAGAGAGAGTCATTATATTTCTCTCTCCTACTCCTCATCCTCCAAGTCCCTTGGTTATCCCAATCCCCAGCCTACCGCAGCCAAAAGCCACCCCCCCTCCCCCAATCTTTCCTTTCTTACAAACAAAACCCCTCCAAACCCTAGCAGAAAAGTGAACACATTTTCCCAATTAAATTATTGTAGTGTTTCATTATTATAATAATTTTTTATTATATAAACCACCTCACATTTCCCAAGATTTGCAGCTTCCTAAGTTGTTGTTTGTTGTTAATACTGGGCAACATTGGAGAGAGATATCTCTCAAAGAAGAGTCTTTTATACAGAAGCATTAAAACACAACAGCAGCCAACAACAAACAAATACCCTTTGGCCTTCCCTCATTATTGTTCTTTCTTTCATCCTTGCTTTCAAGGATGCTTCCTACCACCTGCATTCTCTTAATATGCCTCTTGAGCTCTCTCTCCCCCCTCACCAAAGCTTCTTCCCTCAACCTCACCCTCCCTCACCAACACCCCAACCCTGAAGCTGTTGCTCAAGAAGTACAAAGGTAAGCACCAATGAGCCTCAGCCCCCCAATCATTTCACACAAAAACACACACAAATTGAAAATCCCCATCTGGGTTTTGCTCATTTTTTGATTTTACAAAAAGGGTTGGCTCCCATTTTTCAATCAGTAGGTCAACAGCTAAAAACCCTGTTTGGGTGCTGTACATTATAGTGTTAATGCTCTGGGCCACTATGTTTTCAAAGCACTGAGCAAAAATCCCAGCTGGGTTTTTCTCAAATCAGGCCCCTTTTCTTCTTTTCTGTGTTTTACTCAAGCATTTTGAGCTGTAAGACCCAAAACCCCCATCTGGGCATTGCTCATTTTCTCTGCATTTCCCTCATTTTCCCTCTAACCAAGCAGAGCACTCTGTTTTTTATATTTACTGTTCAGGAGAGTCAATGCATCTCTATCCAGACGCCAAATGCTGTCCCTCGAACTCAAAGAGCAACAACAATGTCTAATCGGCAACCCAATCGACGATTGCTGGCGCTGCGACTCGAACTGGGCCAGAAACCGCCAAAAGCTCGCCGATTGCGGCATAGGGTTCGGCCAAGACGCCATGGGAGGCAAAGGAGGCCAGATCTACATCGTCACCGACTCGTCCGATCGGGACCCAGCCAACCCAGTCCCGGGCACGCTCCGCCACGCCGTGATCCAAACGGAGCCCCTCTGGATCATCTTCTCCGCCGACATGACCATCAAGCTTAAATGCGAGCTCATTGTCAACAGCTTCAAGACCATTGACGGCCGGGGCTTCAACGTCCACGTCACCGGCGGCGGCTGCATAACGCTCCAGTACGTCTCCAACATCATCATACACAACATACACGTCCACCACTGCAAACCCGCGGGTAACACTAACGTCGCCTCCAGCCCCACCCACGTCGGGTGGCGCGGAAAATCGGACGGCGACGGCATCTCCCTCTTTGGCGCTCGCAAAATCTGGATCGACCATTGCTCGCTCTCCTACTGCGCCGACGGCCTGATCGACGCCATAATGGGGTCCACAGGGATCACGATCTCGAACAGCTACTTTGCCCACCACGACGAGGTGATGCTTTTGGGCCACGACGATAAGTACTTGCCGGACTCGGGAATGCAGGTGACGATTGCGTTCAACCACTTCGGTGAGGCACTGGTGCAGCGTATGCCTCGGTGCAGGCGCGGGGACATACACGTGGTGAACAACGACTTCACGCAGTGGGAGATGTATGCCATTGGCGGTAGCGCTAACCCCACCATTAACAGTCAGGGGAATCGGTACACTGCTCCCCAGGACCAAAACGCCAAGGAGGTAAAAATTGTAAATTTCTGTAAAGTTCGGGTCTTTTTTCATTTTTTTACTTCTGGGTCCGCGGGAAAACTGAAAAAAGGTAAAATGATTGTTTCGTGATATTGGGAATTGGTTCTTTGGCGGGTCCAAGTTGGATGGTGGCGCGTGGGGGTTGAAATACTCACGCGCTTCCATGTTCGGCTTGTCTCTTGGAGCATGCATGTCAAAATGGGAAATGGATTCTAACTATAGCCCACTTGCATGGCGGCGCGTGGGATTTAGAATGTATCACGCGCTTCCAGGTGGGGCTGGTTTTGTTGGACGTGAAAATGGGTTTTACTGTCTATATTGTCTGTGAAAAATTGTTTTTGAAATTGAAAGGACAATAATTATATGATAAAGGAAGGAAGGCTTATGTCATAGAGAACGACAGTAGTGGCTGACAGTGAGCATTTGCAGCTGTTAATTTGGCATGACCTGTTGACCGTGATGATAGTACGAAGAGCCCTAATTCATTTATTTAATGTTTGCTGTGTGAACAATTCACAGGTAACAAAGCGCGTGGACACGAACGAGGGGGATTGGTCCGACTGGAATTGGAGGACCGACGGGGACATAATGGTAAATGGCGCGTTTTTTGTGCCCTCAGGGGCGGGAATGAGCACTCAATATGCAAAGGCCTCAAGCACTGAGCCCAAGTCGGTCGGCCTCATCGACCGCCTCACAAACAACGCCGGTGTCTTTGGTGACCCCAGGTAACACAATATTTAACTCTTTCAACTGTATTACCTGTCACATTTACTGTCATAATGATGAGGGCCTTTATGTCTTCTTCCGAATATGAATCTCATCCTAAATGACCAAAATGCCCCTGCTTTGCATATTTGGTTGCTTTGCTCGCATTTTATTACGTGCATCGTGCTTGCTGGGTTTTGGGTTTGAGAATAATAAAATACAAACAGTGTGAGAAGGCAAAGAGAGAGTGTGAAAAATGGAGCTGGGGTTTTTATGGGGTTGCACGTGATCACGCAGGGCGGTGGGAATCTAGCTGCTGACACTGCAGCCTTACAGTTCTGTTGTTCGTTGTCTTTCTAGTTCTACTTTTAGGGTTGGCCAAAGGGCCCAAGGCCATGGTTATTATTATTAACTTATTAGGGTTTATTTATTAGTTAAATAGTTTTTGGTTTGTTTTAAATTTGTTTTAAATTTAAAGTATGACCTTGGGATTAGATTTGAAGTATTCCCCCCCACCCCACCCCACACTCTTGTTTTTGGCAGTTTTAGTCTTTCTAGGTTGCTTGGGGCGGGTTTTGACCATTTTCAATCTCAAAAGACCATCTTATTTTAGAACTCCCAAAATGATGCAACTTGCAAGGGACAAAAGGCAAATGGGTGTGAAAGATGATAGCCTACATTTGCAACCCTGAATACCAAATCTGCCCACAGTAGGATAGGAGGGTTAGGTTTGCGGTGAGATAACTAAGTACTGTAATATTGCAAAGGGCCAATGGTGTCCCCCATCAGAAGCTTGTGATGTTATATGTTATTGGTGAATGTGTGTCAAGGGAAAGGTAGAAAAGTTGCAAGTGGGTTGGCTTGCCGCTTGGGTTGTAGGAGACCCACCCCAGCTCATGGATTGGTGCGTCTGGCATTGGGAAGGTGACTCAGTTATATTCTCTTCATTTTGCTTTTCAGCAAGTAAATGTGGGGTCCTTGTACAATTTTCAGACGTGAGTGTGGGCACACTTTTGATTTTTATTTATTTATTATTCATTGGCACACTTCGGTATTTGATTTAACCAAAACATGGACAACTTGCCCATGGACCCAGGTCCTGAGTCTTGACTGTCAGACCTTTCCCTTCTTTTCTTTCTTTTTCTAAACTTGACTGAGAGGTCCCTGTTTCTGATCCTTTCTGTTTTAAGTTGTAGTTAATTTAGAGATTTAAAGTCTCTAAAGTATTAAATTATATAACTATTCTTCAGGGATTTAAAGGTAATCAAAATGTCACGAACTTATAAGAATTCAGAGAGATGATGGAGTTTTTAAAGTTTGGAGGTAGAGAAAGAGGGTTGGAGATTTTTTGTGCTTATGCTGACAACATAAGAACGGGATCTTGGACTGACCCAAAATTACTGATCAATGAGCCGGAGCCGGCCCAACCCAAACCCAAGTCCATGAGCCGTGAACTATAGTGAACCGAACCAAGTTGGGCTTTAGTTGATTGTTTGGCTCTCATAATAATTGACTGCTTCTCTTTCTCTTTTTGCTACCTTCTGTACCAATCCTTTATCCCAGATTTGTCTATCACTGAATGCTAACGACAGTCGTCCTCATGCGCATAACAATAATCTCTTGTTCATGTCCATGGGGACCTCATGACGTCTTAAAACTTGTTGCAAAGTGTTTTCAGTTACATTTATTTCCGTTCCGTCTATTCTTCTGTTAAACCATATGTCATCCTTCATGTCTTGATCTAAATAATTTACTGATTTTGGTTGTTTCAACTATTGTCATGGTATAGGAGCAGTACGAGCGTGTCACACCCCGGAGACGACGGCGGTGGGACCATCACCGATGGCACCAACACAGGAAGTGAAGGGTCCAGCGGCGGTGACGGAGACTATTTTGGAATGATATTTGGGAACGGTGCTCCACCAAGCTCTTCATCATCTTCAAACACAATCTTCTTGTCACTTCTAATTATTTTTATTTTGTACGTTACCACCAACCATGGTGATGCTCTATTATCATTACCCTTATTATTAACATTATTATAGAATTCAAAGAAAATATCATTATCAGATAAAAAGAGAAAAAAAAAGGGAAAAATTTCTCAAATGATTTGATTGCTTGGTTGGTCCCCCCACATCCTTTATTATCTGAATTATTTTAGTTTTTTTTATGGTCCTTCCTTAAGATGATAGTTTTTATGGGGTTTCAACACTATTACGTTTGACTTTGAAGGCTCTCATGTTTTGGCGGTTGAATTGGATTGAGTTTTGGGTAGGCTAACGTTACGTGGATATGGCCACAAAAGAAAATAAAAGAAGAAGATAGGATATGATTGGCTGAGATGGCATTTTTCGGATGGCATGTCAAATTCAGAGGATTTATATGTTTTTGGCTTCAACCATTTTCGTTGAATTTGAGTGCTTTTCATTGAGTAATAATAATGTAGTTAACATGGCATGTCTCCATGTCTTGGAAAATTGCCAAAAGACAATGGGATTTTGTAGTGCCCTTCGAATCTTTATCTTCTTCTTTTATGCTAAAGTATAACGTGCTTGTTTGAGTGCGTTCGCTCACTTTGTGTACTAGTATAACAAGGAAACAGAAGTATATGCATGTCTTGTCAGCCATATCTGTAAATGATAAGAGTTCATGTTTACATGGGAAAAGGGTGATTTCAAGTTGAGACGAAAGCTAGGGAAGTCAGCCGTAGATCAGTGTCCCCACTGTGGGACCAATACCAATCGACATCTGATAGTAGGTCAGACGGATGCCAACCAACGGTTGATAGTAAGTAAAGCCATGATGGTTTGGAGCTTCAAGCTCTAGGAGTAGAGCAACCTATACGCATGTAGACGACTGTTTCTAGCAAGAATCAAATTAAAAGCCATGATGGTTTGGAGCTTCAAGCTCTAGAAGTAGAGCACTTCTATGCTCTACTTCTTGCTCGCATGCACGACAAGAGTTCGGTTCTTGTTTTCCCATTCCTTTCCTCTACACCAAAATTAAAAGACCAAAATGGTGAGTTTTGTACTACATAACAACATAAAGGATTTTCACAACCTCCCTGAAAGCTACAGCATTTTATGATTTAACTGGATTGATTAATCGATAACAAATTCGAGCCAAAGACAAGTATAAGCTTGTCAAAGAACAAGATATCACCAAGTAGTTTGATGAGGAAAATCAACACAACCTAAAGTGAAAAGTAGAAATGAAATAAAGTATGCACATAACTTTTCCCGTTTGGGAAAGAAGGGGAAACAATGGCAAAATCTTCGCAAGCATTCACAATCTGCCATGACATTCATTACACCTTGTTACAATGTTTATATTTTACTCCTTTCCAAGTTATTTCATAGCCTTGGTAGGACTTCAACATTGAAACAAGTTTGAACAAAAAAAGGGAACAAAAAAAAAAGCCATTTAAGTGAAACTTTGAGTTGTTTGTGTCCTATATTTAATTAACTAACCAATACCATATCCTCTCCCCCTGCAGTTGCCGCCACTGCTTCTATTCTCTTCCAAGTCAATTCTCGCCGCTCTTCCATTTCTCTGGCCCTTGTTTCCTTTTCTAAATATTGTTCCTGGCACTCTTCAAACAATTCTGGGTCCATTTCCTGGAACATCCGTCGCACATTGGCTGTCAGCCCATGGATAGCCTGGTTCCAGTGACCTTGCGTGTTTTTCTCCAATGCTTCAAAGATTAATGGCAATATCACGTTCCGGTTCTGAGCAATTAAACTTACAATGTGTTCACTGTTCCACAAGTAAAGAGCTCGTTCGGCAACCTGCCAAGCATCTTTATATTAGAAACACTTTTCAAATAGAATAGTTATACAACTAGAGAAAGAAAAAAAATCCTGTTATAACATTTTTGGAAATCCCTAACACACATTTTCATTAAGCTTTCTTAGTCATAGATAAGAAGATATTTTGTTATGTGATGGCAAGGAAGATGCATGTACCAATTGACTCCAACACAAGAAGCAGTAATACAGCAACACCGTAACTTATCCTTTAAAGAGGGGAGATAAATGTGAAAACTAGAGACATTGCCTAGCTTTGTTCAGCTAGACAGTGTTCCTTTTCTCAGACCAAGAAAAGAGCAACTGCTTAGCTTAAATAATTTTTTTTTAAAACATGAATTTAATGGTTAAACTGTGGCCTGTCTAAGCATATGTATTTGCTGGCTAACCTGCGCCTAACCCTCTTTGCAAGCAAGAGCTCAGATTCAAACAAAAGTATTGTAATCAATGACGTGCGGGCAAAAATGACAGCTCACACAACCTTATTGTGTTTCTGTTGGACTTCAATATAGAGGCAAATTAAAGAGGTGATTTAAAAATAAAATAAAAACAAACTAGCCATATGGGGGAGACAACTAAGAATATAAGACTGCTTCAATGAACTACCAAACTTACTAACAATAGGATGTTTATAACCTATTATCAGGTAGTTCTTGTATGGATCATATCAAACACCATCAGAAGGGGACCAAGAGAAATTAATGTCTACCACAGCCAGAAAATTACACACAACAACTATGGAGACCCCTGAAATCAACAACTATGGAGACTCCTGAAATCTATTGTCCGAAAGAGTGGCACATGAGTATCCTATGCAATTTCAACACTTTTAAGAGAAATGCTTACACGTCAAGCATTCAGACCAACTTCGAATAACACACAGGTCAAAGGTACGAGCTACAATATTAGCTATATATTATTTACAAAATCACATTTTGATGGATTTGTTCTCATAAAGTTAAGTAGTCTCACAGAAACAGTGGAAGGGGGAGAGAAACGTCCAAGTGATAGTAATATTGTACACCAAACAGGTCCAACAAATTATTATCTATTTCATAACTAATGCCAATGTTGTATCAAATAATTTACTTTTCGGAAAAAAAGCACACTGAAAAATGCATAAACAATCTAATCGTAACTACCAGGCTACTCATATAAAAACAGTCTTTTGAATTCACCTGAAAATGAGGGCTATTAAGGCAGCGCCCAATCTGTCTAAAAAGTGGAAGCATACATCTGTGAAACTCCGCAGCCTGCGTAGCTTCCAAAACCTCTTCTAACTCTGCAAGAAACAGAACCTCCTTCTGACAATTAGTGAGCGGCCAATACTTCAACAACCCCTTGACCACCAATTCGGCCAACTTATAATCCTTGTCAACAAACTGTATGATACAATAGGCTAACTGGTGATGATACGCGGATATGCACTTGGGTTTGTGCAGAGGAATAAGTGCTCTCACAAGGAACAGCTTATGCTCCTCTTTCATGGGCAAAGCAAAGCCATTTATTATACTCCCTAGAATCTCTAACAACTCTCCAATCCCACAATGCTTCTGTGTCTCAAATATAAACCTATAAAACACATTATTCATGGCCTTCCTGATAAAGGGTCTGTGAACCATAAACTTCCCATAAATTCTATGCAAAAGGGTTTTCAAATACTCGCGTTCCCGAGGGTCCTCAGAATCAAACAACTCCATTAACCTCAACACAAAGATGTGATCAATGTAACGTTTAGCGACTTTAGCATCGGTTTCTGGTGAGGCAATGTACCTTAACAAGAGTTCATAGACGATTTGCAGGTGAGGCCATGAGGGCTCCTGATAGGGCTCGTCCTCGTCGGGTTCGAGCAAGTCCGATGCCGGAGGCAAGCATCGGAAGATGTTGAGTGATACCATGCGAATGAGCTCCTCTTGCATTGGACCGGTGAGTTTGCACGAACCGGAGTCGATGAAGTCCACGAGCTCCATGAGGGTTTGGCGCTTGAGCTCTTTCTCGAGAACCCATTTGAGAGAGTTGGAGAAGTCGCAGTAGAAGGAGCAGAGTTGGAGCTTTTTGAGGAAAAGGGCCGGGCGGTCCAAAACAGCGACGTCTCGGAGAAGAGGAAGGGGTTCCATGGAGAGGGATAGTGTGATGGGTTGTGACTCGGGTTCGAACTCGAGATCGGTAGGTTCGGGTTTTGGGGATTTGCGGTGGCCGCGTTTTATGATTTTGAGCATTTTTTTTTTTAAAAAAAGGTTTTTTTTGGGTATAAAGGAGTATTGGGGAGAGATAAGGACGACCTAGGAAACTGAAAAAGAGAGGAAAATTAGGGTTTGTGGGTGGGGATAAGGAGGGATTTGGGGGAAGAGATATTGGGATGAGGAGATCATTTGGTGTTTGGGAGACGAGAAAATTTGCAGAGTAATGGGAAAGTTTGTGGGAGTGGGAATTGAGAGGCCACCCTTTGCTTGGAACTGGGGAAGTAGTAGGATTGACCATAAATGGAAACTTTTTGATTTTCTGTTAAAAGATCTCTTTTTCATTTGGACAATTTGCTAAAATATCACCTTTTAGCGCCTCCTGCTTTCCCTTCTCCTTCACTTGAAATTGAGCATACAACGAAGTATGCTACAAGTGTAAAATCGATCAATTTGAATTAGCATTTTGTAGTGAATTTAGGTTTGGCAGGAGCATCATGATTCAATTTTTGGAAGCAATTTTATTTTGAGAAAAGCTTGTTCCATAACATCATCTGTTTCATGCTAAGACTTGAACGTTGACAAAAAGATGCATACAAAATATCAACCATTGTCAATAGATACAGGGGTTTAATAAGTTAAGATCCTTCTAGCTGTGCGAAAGACAAAGCAGTATCTACACCATTTAAGTTAAAAACACCACTTTTTTGAAGAGTGATCTGATCACCACCCTCCTTTGCCACTTCCACCGTCAGATCCCTTGCCCCAGGAGCTTGCAGGTGCTACGGCTTTGCCCCAGGAATTAGTCGGTTTTGCACCTTCATTGGTTCCTTGCTTTGCCTCACCACCATCAGATCCGTTGCCCCAAGAGCATGCTGCTGCTGCTTTGCCCCATGAATTGGTTGGTTCTCCACCTTGATCAGTTCCTTGTTTTGCCTCACCTGATTGATTCCAACCAGAGGATTGAGCCCCGCTTGAAGTGCTTGATTGCTTCCAGTCGGATGATTTACCTCCTCCAGCAGCACTTGGTTGGTCTCCAGTAACGCCTCCAAATCCTGAACCTGTTCCCTTGTTCCAACCTGAACCCTGGTTGCCCCAGCCCCCAGCTTGTGCACTTGAGCTTGGTCCCT